ACACACACACAACCGCTTAGCCGATCATATATAGTAGGATGAAATCATTTCATTCTCACGGCTGATCGACATCAATCGCAGGTTATCCGGCACGCTCCAGCACGCTTGTTTCCTGGGTCTGTGAAGCAGGGCAAGTCTTCAGGATCGCTGCATGCAAATGTATGTACCACGTCAGAGCATTCTCGAGCGTACGCATCTTCCCTGTTTGAGCTGTTATGGGCACCCGCTAGAATCCCATGCCCGCCGGCCCTCGTGGACTTCGCCGATGCAATCTTCTCCCGTTGGTCGGCCTGGTACGGCAGGGAAGGGTCGGTTCAAAAGATAAGAGGCGTTTTCGCGGTGTAAGGCGCGCTTTCAACGGCGTGATGTGGTGCCAAGATCACCAGAAGCCTTTCCGCTTCTAAAAAACGAATACTGATTGTAAGACTCTGACATGCCTTAGACGCTAGGAAACATAGAGGGAAATGCCACAAACATGGCACATACTGGAGAAAGCCTCAGGCCTTGTGCGGACAAGATCGGATTCGAATGCCAAATCAGAAATCAATCAGTCAATCAGTCTGAATCTGATTGTTGGTGCTATTGGTGACGCCAGCTCCTCCCACAAACATTTATACAATCGAACATCGACATTCATCTACGAGTGTTCTAGTATCAAGTTATGCAGCAGTGTCGAAAACTGGTCTGTTCGTGTAAAGTTCACCGTAGGAAAGCGGTGGCACGACACCAGGACAGAGCTCATAAGATGCTGATTGTCCACCTCCGCTGTTGAGCTGAACTGAGACGACGCTACCTGGTGGGAACCTGCAAATTTATAGTAAAAATTGCATCACTCATCTATAACACTGGTGTTATGGCGGTTGCGCGCTCACGGCCTTAAGGGCAGGGTCGACCGTGCGTTTCCAGACCTCAAATTATTCTACGACCCTCCCCTCTTCAGTTGGTCTCGACACCACACCTACCACCACCACCGCCTTGGAGGCTCCCATGAAACGACCAACCGAGCTCTCCAACCGACCACCACCCTAACCATCAGGCTGTTTCTTCAATATTTGAGACTGTAACCAGTCGACACAGACTACTTCACCCTTCTTTACTGAAGTTTTCAGAAAATCCGTCGAGAAAGTCGTCAAATACGACCCCCCCCTATGCGATCACCATGAACTCCTCAACTTAAAAGATACGGCCCACTTTCTTCCACACTTTGACTTCCACCAACCCAGAATATGACTCCCCCCTTCGAAAACTCGAATAACAACCACTTGGTTGGAAATGCGCAATGCACAGTTATTTAAAGCTGCGAGGAGAGGCGGGGGAGCTAGACTTTGAAGACAGGGCACAGAACCGCCATGGAACTGACAGTATCAGGGCAGAGCTCAAGGGGTAGAGAAACGCGGCACGCCAAGGGAAAACAAATATGTCCCCATTTATCCCAAAAAATTGCCCCCCCCCCAACCCTAGGCTTGGTCCCAAGTACTAATGGCTCACTCAACTGAACATCCCACACCCCAAACTACATGAGAATAATACGGATAGGCCGGTTTACCCTCACTCACCTCAGTCCCAAACCGACTCTATCAATCGCCTCTTCCTCCGATCTGTCGACGTAGTTTGTTGAAGTCCCTGCAAAACCTATACGAAGTTATTACGAGCAAATTTTGTCACTACGGTTGATTGTAGATTCACCTATCGAAGCAGCCACAGCAAGAGTAACCGCGTGTGCGACGATAATCAAGGCTTCGTCACGCTGTTCTTGGCCCAGTGAACGCAGAACGAAATCTGCACGTGCTAAACCGTCTCTTTCTGCTTCCTTATCAAAGTTCTTTGATAGCGTGTCCATTGTATATATGGGAGAACTGAATAGTACCCTTTAACAAAAAACTTGGCTATTTGTAAACCGAGTACAGCTATGGTAACTTGGCAAGAACTGACATTATGTACAGCCATTACGCACCTTCTGCGAGACTCAAACCATCGAAGGCGAGTCTTACGGAACACAAAGATGTGCTCCCCCATTGTGGGGGGATAGATGTGCAATCCAGCCCAAGGGAAGTATCTAGAAAAGTGCTAAACCTGCATGGAGCCCGTAATTGTATTTTTTTTTGTTGAACCTCACCACTTCTTCCCATTCTTCCAGTTATTTCCATTCTACGATAGACGCGTAGATCACGAGCGTGACGCCTTGCCCTGACTTCTCTGCCCTCTCTCTATCACCGTAGACGATCTCCCACCATGAACCAATCACAGCCCGAGACCTCCTGTAGGAGGCGGGCCGGTCACGGCAAGTGGCGCTGGCCAGGGTTTGGGTTACCTACGCTGCGAAGGGCACGCCCATCGCGGCTACGCATGTCCCTACTCAATCCTCTGAGGGGAGGGGGAAGAGGGAAGGGGCCATTCTTTTGCAGAACGCATACTCTACCTTCTCTCATATCCCATTTATCGTAATACCCTCCTTTCAATGCAGCGAGTTTACTAATCCGATCGTTGGTGGAGGTAAAATTAAGATTCAGCATAGAGGAGCATTCCTCAGGTCAGTTCACGTCTCGAAGGGAACTCCAGTTGAAGATGTTCAAGGAGTTGCACGGGAGCAAAATAGAGATAGGAGGATGAGATGCTATCTAAGACACTATTATCCTGAAGGAACAGCTCTAAGACACTATTATCCTGAAAGGAACAGCTCTAAGACACTATTGTCCTGAAAGCAACAGCTCTAAGAAATAAATAAAAGTAGATAGGTGCTAAACATAAGTGATGGGGCAGTGCGGAAGAAACCAAGAGAAACGGCCTGAACGTGTCTTATGGGAACTGTTTGTCCCTTGATATTGGCGCTAGACGAGATTCAACGACTGCTGACATCATCAGTACGACCCCCACGCTCCAGCTCCCTGCTGAGAGAAGAAAACCGCAGACGGACAGCGGCCAGCAGCCCATCACAGAAGGGCGTGGTAGGCAGGAGGTTGACGTCGGCCATGTGAAGCTTATGATTGGACCTCTACGAGGCTCTTCTCCACAGAACCCGTCACGCCTCCATAGCTTCCCTCCATAGCAGGTACAACTCCTTTCATTTTTTGAATTTCCAATCTTTTCATGACCGCTGTCTCTTGGACAGCTCCCGTCAAGCACAGGGGTAGTACTTATGCCGGTGATGTCCCTTGTAATCAGGAAATTATCAATATTTGTACACATCTAGCTGATTATGCTGTCAATAGTATACTATGACAAATGGCTTACTAATTAGTATCAATTGGATATGATTTGGCCAACTCTCCCAGGTGAAAGTCTGGCATTTTCTTGTTCGTCATACGGTACCACGCAAGTGGCTCTAGCAGTCCAGGTTCTACCTAAAGGATAAAGGTTCTAGTTTGCTTCAGAGCAACGAAATTCTATACCTCAACTTACAGCTATTTTTGCCTTTAGGAATTTTGCCAACGCCTCGGCGGTCTGGATAGAGCGAAGTGTCGGTGAACAGATGAGTCGCTTTGATTTGACACCGCGATTAGCCAAAGCGCGAGCCGTTAACTGGATGGTGTACTTGCCTGAACAGTTGAATATGGTGGCGAATGGAAGTACCTGGGTGCTACCGCAAGATAGGGGGACACTTATGTAGCAATGCATTTGAAATCGCGGAAAGCCACTATAGTCTAACTTTTGTAAACACGCGACAACAGGAGAGGTGTCCCGAACAGCGCCTGTCGAGCTTAGCCCTGGCGGATGCCCCCGTATCATTCGATTGCGGCAGTAACGGATTTTATGATTCTAAAAAGCTTTGCACACTGCAATTCTCATTGCTAATGCTTTCGCTTATCTATTCACAAGTTTGCTTCGCCCGCTTCGCGCGCATTCACAGGGAGCAGGCGAAACCTTGAGGATCTAGCAGAATATACAATCATGGTCCATTAACCACCTCACTATTGACCTTGCCCAGAATTCGCTGAAGTCCATCGAGAATACGCGTGATAACGTCTGGAGCTGAACTGGTGTACATAATATATCTCACAACTGTAAACACCCAGCATTTTTCTTGAATTCAGATAATTTAGCGGTGAATACGATTTTCTTGCTGTCAGTCTCAAAATGAAAATGAAATATGCCTGTTTACATAAGTGAGGAATTAATGCTTATCATTTGTTTACACTCACCATTATTTAGAACCCCGAAAGGATAGCGGTCTAATGAGTTTGGGCTTTCTTG